TTTTTTTTTTTTTTTTTTTTTTTTTTTTTTACACAAAATACTTTTCCGTTCTCCTCTTTTATTGTGGACAAAAGCCCTATTATAAGTGTGCATCACTGGCAACTAAGATTAAAAATTTTTGATGAATATAATCAAATTTAGTACATTAATCATTTACCCTCTTAACAACATAAATTCACATATATAAAAACATTTTGCAAATGATATCATTAAAGGCGATATAAAGAAAGAATTCTCATTTTCCATGAAATAGTTGAGAAAACTTCTCCTTTTGATAGAAAGAGGTTTGTTGCCAAGGAGAACAAGCCTCAAACATCACTTTATTCAATAAGGAGGTGAAATTCGATGGTGTTTCCAGAAACTGGAAGTCCAGGTTGGTCGATACTTACCGTGTTGTGCATCAACAATAGCAGCTATTATCATTTTCTTTTACTGTAGTAAGATATAAGTTGACTTTCTATAATTAGGAGTCAGTTGGAAAAATCCAGTGGTACATTTCTTATAAATATTCACTGACTAGAGACAGGGCTCCATTCCCTTTCAGAGAGAATTTTCAAGTTTTTTTACTTTTGTTCCTAACTGGAATGAAATGAAGGCTCAGATCTGATCTCACCAATTTGGCATCCAAGTGGCACTTAGGGGTTAAGCGTGATCTTATTCTATCCTGTTCAAATGCCTGAAAAACCATTAACATTTGCTTTTGTTGCACACCTTCATCTAAGCCTGAAGACTAACTCATATAAAGCAGTGAGGGGGAGAAGGACTCAAGAATTTTTTGTATTAAATGTTTTCAAGCACCAAGGCAAGGTAAGATCACACACAAATGCCCAGCAGGAGGAAAAAGATCTGATCCCATTTATTTAAAATTTTTATCAACATCCTCTGTGAAGTGGGATTATCTTTTCCAACCTAACACTAATTTTAGAAGTGCAATATAGTTGTAGAATCATTTGAATGTGTGGGAGATCTCAGTTCAACTTATAGGAAAAAGTAACATGAATTTTAAATCTTTGGATCTACAGCCTTAATGGCTAAGTATATTTATTTATTCACCTGAGATTGCAAGCAGCATTTTTCGTCTGGCGCCAAAAGTGGTAATTCCTAGCTCTTTCAAATCTTGATCCGTAAGAGTAAGGAATGTCTGAAGATCAATCTAAGAGAAAGAAAACCAAAATTAAATATTGGGATTCAAATCACATAAAATTAACAATCTTTCAGCAACCATTTCCTTTCTGAACTGAAACTTACCACTTAAAATTGTTATTTATGAGTGTAGTAATAGCTGGCTCTCAAAACAAAGTTTAACTTTATTTCTATTGATTCTACATACCTATTCTGTATATCTATAATGCAATTGCTAAATTCCCATTTGGCAATGAATGACTGAAATGAAATGAAAAGGGGAAAATGAAACAGATTCCTTTTGTACTACAACCCTTAGGGCCCCTCTATACATGCAGCAAAGGTGAGCTGGGATCTAATATATGATCCATACAGTTGAGCCTCCTGCCATGCTGCGTGTGTATGGCAGAAGCAATGACTGTGGGATCATACATTAGATCCCTTTGCGCATTACTGTTGGTGCAGGGGGAACCTGATCCTAGGCTCCCCCACACACTGGCAAAAAGCAATCTCCCACAGCTTGGAGCCCCCTTCAGTTGATGGGCTCCCAGATGTGGGGACACCCCATACACCCCCAGGTCTGGATTACAACAGCCGTGATCCCTCAGTTGCAGGAGCTTCACGCAACCCCAGGGCAGCTGTGCCCCCCAGCTGCTGGAACCCAGGTGAGTCCTGACATCCAGTATCCGCAGCTGCGAGAGTCTTGGGTCCCTGTGCTACTGGGACCCAGATTTGACAACTGCTGGGGATGAGAGTCCGCACAGCTGCAGGACTTCCTGCCCTTGCTGGGCATGGTGGACCACTGCGGCTGGGAGGGTCTTACAGGGCTCCCAGCTGCAGGGGAGGCCCTGATACACATGCAAATTAAAGTTTGATAGCAATGAGCTATAAAAAGTTAGTATACATTTTGAGGTCCAATTATATAGGTGGTGGGTGCTTTTTATGGTGTGATAGACACTTTGGACATGTAGCTGGTCTGAAGGCAACTGTGCTATTAACCACTTAATTATGCAATACCTGTAACATGTAGAAGGGACCTTAGTGATGGATAATTTGTTTTGATATTTTATTAGAAACAGATAGGTTAAAAAGTGAAGTTTGACTGATTTAGTGATGCTTTACTGCACTTCATGAGATTCTGAAACTTTCAAAATTTCTGTGAAACGTTCATTTCTAAAGTATCATAAACATTAATAAGCTGAAACAGAGCATGCTGGTACCACCTTAAAGAAAATTAAACCACAGGATCTTTCACAACATACTATCCTTACTAATTATGCTGTAGTTCAGGGATGGCCAACCTGCAGCATGAATATCACAAGTGACACCAGCAGCCTCTGTGTGTGGTCTGCAGGACATTGGGGAGGGAGCATAGTGGCAAATATGGCAGGGAGCAGGAAACAGTGGCAGATTAGGCAGAGGAAAGGGATTGAGTGGCACTCGGGGGGACATTAATCTTAACTTGTGGCATGTCTGCTTCAGTTCATTGTTTTTTAAAACGTTAAACATAATTCAGTGGAAACATGCCCTTTTAAATGAATACCTCTGTAGCAACCCCCCCAGTTTTTCTTTTTTAAATTTATTTTAAAATGCATTCCCTCCCCTTCCCCAACCATTTCTGACTTTTTCTCTCCCTCTCTATTCCCTATAGATAAGTATAAGTAAGCTAAGATGTAGGATAAGCTTCAACATTTTATTTTAGGTAGTAAGTTTTATTTTTCTCTCCCCTCTTTGCAAATAACTGCCCTGCTATTTTGATATAGATATCCACTGTTTTATAAGTGATAATTATTATGTTTTGTATTGATTTTTTTTTTTACTGCTTTTATATTGTGTGATTACTGTTTTAGGCCTATATATGTAAGTGAGCATAAGTCATGTCAAGTTTCCATTTTGTTTGTCAAGTCTCCATCCCATTCCCAGGCCCGGTTGTGTAACCCATGACTCACACCTACCCATCCTATGTAACTTGGTTCTTGAATGAATCGGGATGAATGAGGGTGTTTGAGAGACAATGGCAGTAAGTCTAAAAATAGCTCCCTCTGAATGACCAAACCATCAACACCAATACCTGGACCAATGACCCAGCCCTTGGAACCACCCTCAGCATTCAAGAAACAAAAGATGAGGCATTGTGTCAAGGCTGCACATGCTCAGTAAGAACATCTGAAGCCCTCTGGGACAGGACTGACCTTGCCTGGACATGCCCTCCCCGTAGGAGATCAAAGGTAGTCTGCCCCATAAAAGGGGTAGTGAAGACTGACTCCTTGGGACACCCTCTCCATCCGGACCAGCACCATGCCACACCACCTATCCACCCAGAGGCCCTGCTGGCGACCCCCCTCTGGACAACACCTACTAGACAAAGACCCTTTCCACCCTGGACAGGTAGCTATCACCCCCCACCCTCTCTTCAACCAAGGATTTGGACTCTGTTTCTCTTCCCTACCTGGACTCCAGCCCTTCCACTGAGTCTCTTTCTCCTGCTGCCATTGTGAGGGCATGCGTGTGTGTGTGTGCGTGCAAACCAATAACTTCATGGGGCTTTGTGGCGTGTTGTCTGTTTAATTAAGTTATTTGGACCCCTGAGTTGGGTTTTGCTTTACTATGGTTCATCCCTGCTCCAATCTCTGCTCCTTACGCCTCTAACTTCTGTCTCATTCCTCCCTCTCCTGCTTCTGGCTCACTGCCACCTCCAACACCTGTCCTGAGCTCCTCTCTGCCTCCAAACCCTGTTTCTTTGCCAATGCCTTATCCCTACTGCCTTTTCTCCTAAGCAACTAGGTTTCTGTCTCAGTTTCTTTTTGGCTGTCTTCTCCTTGCCACCACTTATCTGCTCCCCCCCCAATATCTCAGCTGTCTGCCTCAGTTTCCAGCCCCAAGCTGTCTATCTCTTTCTCTTTTCTAGCTGTCTCCTCTTTGCCACCAAGCTGCTTCTTTTCTTTTCCCCCCCTCCCATTCACCAGTGACCTTGAGTAACCCTGGGGCCACTTGATCTTAAGTAAACCCAAGCCTCAGTTCTTTAGTCAGCTTCTCTCTAGTCCACCGGTTCTAATCCCGGTTCTGGCAACTTTCACTCCTTACACTTTAACTCTCTCTCTCTCTCTCACCTTAACCTTCCCCCAAGTATCCCAGGTACCCCAAGAATACACATACATACCGTACCATCCAAGTTAGGAACTTACCTATGTGTAGGTGGGTTGTATGTGTGTGAACTGGTGAGTGTGTGTGTGTGTGTGTGTATATATATATCACTGTGTCCATGATATACAAATTAGTGATCTGTGTATGTGTACTGAATGTGCAGGTATTGATTTTTGTCTCATTTTTAGTGTGTAGTGTGTATGTGCTTGAATTGGTGATAGGTATGCATGTGCGTAGGCTGGTTTAGATGTGTATGTGCGTGAGCTGGTAGTGTGTGTGTATGTGTGTGTATGCACCTAATTGATTTGTGCGTTTGTATATGTGCAATTGTGTCACACCCTCCTAACAGTGCAATATTGAGATCCTGAGACCTGGCCTGACACCACAGGGCAACAACTCATATGCCTTATATTATAGCAACTGACTTTGGTGCACAAACAGAAATAAATGTAGTGGGGAGAAAATCTGGAGTCTAGTTGTGTCCTCAGACTTAGAAACAGGCCAAGGTAGGAACTGGGTTGATCTCTTCACTCCTCTGGATACAGGGTACAGATTTTTGTTTCATCAGTAAGGAAGTAGGTGAAATATTACCCCAAGAAGTGGAATGCTGCTAGCTGTGGATACCATGGGACTATTGCGGACAGGATTCTGAAGTCTTTGTAAAGGACTGAGGTAGTGCCATTCTTCTCATGCTTTGAAGGCTCCAAGTAACTCATGCTATATATTGAAGGTCATACTATCAAAATGAAGGCACTACCTTTGAACAAAAATCAGAGAGGGATGTGTTTCTCTGTAGATGCCGGAATACCAAGGTGTAAATGTTATACTGAAATGTCAATTTTTAATATTTTAATATAGATGAACAATTTGAAGAATATTATGAGGAACACCAGTAAACTTGCTATATGATAGAGCTTAGAAGTTATTCATGGTATTTCAAATATTATTTACAACATTGTCTCTGTGCATTAAATGCTTGTTTTACTAAGAAACACTACAATATTCTGATTGAAAGCTGACTGGAAACTACTGCCACCTACTTAGGGTTTTATGTAACAACCCCCAAAGCTCAACTTTCTGTGATGTCAGGACTCTGCTTATTCTGCTGCAAGAGTTAGCTAAGGTACAGCAGAAGGAGGGAGTGTGTAGTAGAATTATACAGACATTGCCTTACCCTGTCTAGTTACATAAAAAGAGGCTAGCTTTTTGATTTAAATTGAAGGAATGAGCATACACAGCACTGATGGTATACTCAAGAAAAAAACCCAAACAGCTTCTCAGAGAATTAGAACATGTGTAAATGGGGTGGGGAAGCACCATGTCTCTACACCACAGTACTTCTGAAACCATAATGCAGTATCTCTGCACAGCAGTGCCTTGTACCTTATAGACATGCTCTTAGTGTCTAACTGGGGTGATCTAGTGCAGTTTTAAAATACACAAACACATCAAGCACAAGGATTATGTAAAAAAAAATACTAACCTCCTGTTGTTGAAAAACATCTGTGTATTTACCCAAACCAAGTTTGCTGAACAGTTCAGGAAGGTCAGACCCCTTAAACAAACTGTTCAAGTTACAACCATTGTTTCCTGTCAGCGAGGAAATACAGTCCATGTAGTTACTGCTGCTGAGATAATGTTCAGCTGAAAGACAGAGATATACACTTGTAGTTCCAATCACTTGAATACACATATATTAATTAGAATTTTTAATTTCCAAGATATTTCAAATTCTATTGTTTAGTGAAACTTTTCATTTAAGTGTTTAATGCAACAGTAGTCTGAAGAAACCAGATGAATTTCAAAAGAACTTTTTATTAGCTAAATCACATTTCGTGGTTGCTTTTACCGTACACCTGTTATTGATCTGGATATGCAGGAAAAGAAAACAGGTGCAAGGATGGATTTATATCAATAGACTGAATAGAGATGGGGAAATGGCATTCTGGCACTTCTGTTACAGTGGAAATAAGAGAATCAAGAGATGAAGCAATTACTTCATTTAATAAAAAGTATAGTTAAAGGTTGAATAGCTAGTAAATAAACACAATCCTGAAGGAATATTATCTACAGAACACTAAATTTGAAAATACTCAGATTATTTTATCCTGAAGAGCTACATTAAAATACAAAGGTTATGAAAGTCCAGCTCTCAGAAATTGGGAGGTATAAGAATTAAGGTTGCTTGTGGAACATTAACTCATACATAGAAGGGGACTGACTTATGATAGCTTTTAATTACATGACCATATACTATTTGTTTCCCATGAGATTCCTTCTGGATTCAATAAGTAAGATGAATGGTAATCAAGGAGTAAAACAAGCCTCTGATCAAATGAGGGTATTAACTGTAGCTGCCATACATCACTGATTTTAGGAAATGGAAGGTGAATGACAAATAAGGTAGGGCATAGAAAACGACTGTCTTGATAATTCAATTCTTTCCCAACTCCTGAGTTCCGTGTGTGACGCTCAGCAAGTCACTTAAACTAGGGAATACAGAGATGACTACATAGTGCTTTTCATTTGCTGAGTACCAAAGTACCAAAGGTCAGATTTACAGAGGTGCCAGGCCTAAAAGCAGAACTGTGGAAGGAACTGAAGGAAGGAGTGAAAGATCTTCATGTGAAACCAATAAAATATCAATGAGCAGGGGTATGTTTTCCAGAGAAAACACCTGACTGCTTAGAACTGCAAATGTCGTCAATACTGGGAAGATAGGAATTTCAAGAACAGGGCTAGTGCACAGGATCCTAAAACACTCAACTGAGGTAAACCAGGAACTGGGATTTCAGAGCCAGAAGGAAAGTCAGCTCTGGAACTGAAGAGATGCTCCTCTTTGGACTGGATGATGCCAAAGAGTTCCTAGGGTACTTGTTCCAGTACTTTTCCTTTGTTGGCTGAAGATGACTGAACTAAAGGGTTCAGCATCTATGCTGGAGCATTAACGCATTTCAACAGAAACCACTTGGGAGTGTGACATTTTGAATAAAAAAGGATGAGGCAATTAAGACTTAGGGTCTTGGTGCAGGTATGAAACATGGACCTTCATGGGAGTGGACTTTAGTTTCACGGTTCATGTCAAGCTTCTTTGGAACTGAGAAGACTGAAAGTTTTCTTTAGGCATCAAATATACAAAGATGCTGAATGCTGGGGAAAATCCTATGGTAGGAAGCAGACTGTGTGGATTTACCCAAGAGGTAAAACTGGAGCCTAGTTTCACTCTTTATTTTTTGTCTTGGGTGGTAAGGGACCCAACCCATAAAACATTTGCTGGGAACATGGAATTCTTTTAGGAGTGCAGATTGTCAACATTCCCATCAGATGTAAGTAAAGTGCTACTGCAAGATGGACACAGCTTGCATCCTGAGGAGAAGCCATGATCGTGATCAGATAGAACCAAAGCCAACTTCAGGATTCTTTTTCCTTTTCACCCAGACAAAGCAAAAAGCTTTTTTCAGTAGAGGAAAAGAACGCTCCCAAAGATGGTGATTCCACACGGCACAGTCAGAAAGATGTGAAGGGAAAGCAAGTTCAATGTCAGAAAAGGATAGGGTCACAAATGGAAAGAAACAGAGGGGAAAATAGATTTTTGTTTGGGGAAAAACTAAACAAAGATGCAAAGAAATGAATACCATATGTACTTGAATATAAGACAAGGTACGTGTCCCCACACAATCAACATGGAGGAAAGCTCCTCATCTTACTTTTAAATATAAAGAAACTCATTAAATGCATTGTCTATCACTAAAGTGTTGAAAAAGCAGCATGAGCTCAATAATGGAAACCAACTATGAAATTGATTAATTGAAGCCGAAACTAAGCCCGACTATAAAACACATGGCCCCCATGGGGAAAACATGCAGATGGGAACATAAAACAAGGATGGGTTAAGTGCAGCTCATCTGAATAAGATATATGCTAATGTCCATTGGTACAGTCCCCCCCAGTTGTTTTTCAAGTCATGGCTAGCCACTACACTGAATACATTTCAACTTCCTCTTCATTCCCACAGCTGATCTGTGCTTTTCTTTCCTAATTCCAATGATTCCTGCTACTTTAGCAGCCTTAAATGTCTGGCAAATATCACCAAATGGATCCTAAACAGTTTACCCAGACTCCCTGCGTCATTCCTTCTTTCTGCCTGTTGCTTATTATTACTGTGGCCCTGCCTTCCATAAGGTGGAGCTAAACTAGGATGCCCTGTGCCTCATCTGCTTACGAATTTTTGGAGGATCCCAGGACTCGTGACAAGAACACCAATTCCAGTAACAAGTAAGGGGCTAATTAGCATATTGATCCTTTGTGGGGGTATCTGGTATACACACACACACACACACACACACACACACATATACTGAGCAGTAGGGCTGTGCAAAACTTTGGTCTCCAATTCGATTCGGCAGAGATTTGGCCCAATTTGGTGGCCAAATCTCCAAATCTGAATAGAGTCAGGGGACTCTTTAATCTCTGGATCAAATCGAAACCCTCTGAATCGATTCGGAGAGATTCGGAAAGATTAGGAGATTCAGACATAGAGATAGCTTTAAATGTTTTTTCTACATACCTCTAGGTAGCAGGTGGCTTGTGAATGCTGCAATGCTGGGGTGCATGGAGTGTCCCACAGAAGTGCAAGGGGGTCCCCAGTGCGCTCGGCAGCAGACCTGGAAGTGGACCAGAAGCACTTCCGGTCCACTTCTGGATCCACCGGGGAGCGCGCTGGGGGGCCCCCCCCCCAACACCCCTGTGGCTTGGTGACTGGTGCCTCCTGGCTTGAGGTGGGGGGGCCACCCAAGGTCCCCTGTGGCCATTCACCGAGCTGGGGAGGTGTAGGGGGCCCCCCCCAGCATGCTCCCTGGCAGATCTGGAAGTGGACTGGAAGTACTTCTGGTTCACTTCCGGGTTCGCCACCAAGCACGTGGAGGGTCCCCCTGCACTCCTGTGGGACGCTCCATGCACCCCAGCATTGCAGCAATCACGAGCCACACCTGCTACCTCAAGGTACATAGAAAAAACTTTTAAAGCTGTGTCTATGTCTGAATCGCTGATTCTCTGAATCAGCATTGAATCTTCAGATTCAGCCAAATAGAATCGGGGACAGTGATCCGAATCAACGAATCGAATCAGTGTCCTCGAATCAGCCCGAATCTGAATCAGCACACCGCTACTGAGTAGTGCTTATCTGTGCAGTTGCCGTGAAACACTATTGACTCTGCTGGGGCTCAGCCCAATGATCTATACAGTAAATCATGAGCCTTTTGCCTTTGAATTAATTTCATGCATGGTTTGCGTTATATACAAGTAGATGCAAAAGTGTGCTTAAAAGTGTGTTTATGGAGTACCTTTGCTAAAACTTGCAGCAGTTTCAAAAACGGTAAAATGCATCAATTCTGGATGAAGAATTACAAATTCAGGAGGAAAAAGCAACATTTCCTTCTTTAAGTCATACTCTCTAAGAACATCCAATTCTCACTTTTGAATTAGTTAAATTAACCTGGGATACAGGTCCTTTTAGCATGGATTAAAGAAAAGCACAAAAACTCTCAGAAATTTTCTTTGCTTTCTCTCCTCCTAGCAAATTGCAAATTTATGCTTGCCCATTTCAGAAGGTTAAAAAGTCAATCAGTTAATTTAAGATTGAGACCAACTTCACAGCAGTTTTGAGTAGGCTGTGAAACAATTTGTTTAAAAACACCTGTTCATAATTTTTAATATGTGTAACTTGTATCCAAGGAAACAGATTACCAAATTAATCTACCTCTACTGATCCTACTGAAAAATCATGTATCAACAAGTATTGCTAGGATAACAACTATAAAAATTTATGGATTTTACTAGGTAGCCCCAGATCAATGTTGATGCTGTTCTGAAGAATCTGGATCTGAATGAACTTTTATTTGCTTTAGTTCACTAAAACCTTCACTGAAAAATAAGGATCTCCAGGGACACTGTTTTCTGTGCCATTACTATTTTCCATGAATTTTCCTTTTTTGAAACATTAATTTGTCATGCAGTTTTGTCTTTGCTTTGTACTTTTTCAAACAAACTGTTTAATACGTTTAATTAAATCCTTTAAAATATTTAGGCAAATATTTACTGACGTTAACCACATTTAAAAATTCAGGACCTGGCAATTAAAGCAAAATTTGATCCCCAAATTCCAAGATTTTCTTTTTTAATGAAATACATTGACAAGAAATACTTACTGGATTTGTTTTGTTTTCGTTTGGGGCTGCCAATCGATGACACAAATTCATTATGAGATGTGGGAGCAATACCATTATGATCTCGCCAGTTATCAGATTCACTGCCATTTCCTAAATGCTCCCGACTGTTAGACCGTGAGAGAGACATTGATGAACCCTGCAAGATCCCAAAACAGAAAAAAGAAAACAAAAACTGGTGCAAAACCAATAAGAGTTTCAATGCAATTTGACTGGTCATTTCCCAGAAAATAGTCCCATAAAAATACACCAGATTTTAAGGTTTAAAATATATTATTAACAGATAATTGCTATTAAAGTAAGAATTGCATTTTACATATTTTAGACAGAGCTCTTGTTTTTGTAATAAGTTTATGAAATTCAAGTAGAAGTTATTTAAAAAAAGCCCAAACTTAATATGAAAGTCTTTTATATTCCTAAAGTTGTTATAAGATTCTATGAAGATGGACCCCGCTCAACAGCAACTGCAGTTCTGAGAATCACTGAGAAGTAGGGCCGGAACAGATCTCCACAGGTCACCTAGTACAAAAGCCTGCCTGAGATGAGGTCATCTGTATCTGAACCAACCCATACACAACCATTGTCAAACCCAGGGGTGGGGAATTATTTCAGCTGGAGGGCCACTTAATGAGTTTCAGAGAACTCTCAAAGGTCACATCCATCTTTCTGTCTCTTCTCTTCATCTCTTGACTCCTCCTCTTCTCTCCCTCTGTCTATCTCTGTCTCTTCTCTTTCTATCTCTCTTCTCTCCCCTTCTTTTCCTCCAGAACCCAGCCAAAGTTGTTGTTTGCCAGGAGCCCCAGTGCTCAGATGTGGACCCAGGCAAGACCTTCTGGGTGGTGACAGCTGGGTGGGTGACAGTGTCAGCTTTGGCCAGGTTCTGGAGGGAGGAGGAGAGAGGGAGGTGGACAAAGATGGAGAGAAGAGAAAAGAGACAGAGTGACTTTGCAGCCCACCTGGCACAGCAGCAGCTTGTGCTTGGGTACACAGCTGAAGCTGTTGGCAGGTTCTGCGCAGGAGCTTCTGCTGTGCCAGGCAGGTGTCAGCTATGGATGGCACAGGCAGGTTCTGTATCCTTGCTACTGAACCTGCCCATGGTGTCCACAGCTGACGCTACTGCCTACCTGCTACAGGAAAAGCCCCGAGCTGGTCAACAGCTGATGACCAGGGATCCGGGTTTTTCATTTCCCATGGAAAAACAGAGTAAAGAGCAGATTTTACCTTTTACCGGAGGCAAACCCGGATTTCTCATTTTACTGGAGAAACCCGTGGATTTTGCAGTTTTACAATGAGCTTCCTGCAGGCTGGCAGGGAGCTGGGAGGAAGTGCAGGAGGGCAGTGGGACAGGGGGTGTCACATGCATGCACATGTACATGGCCCCGAGCAGGTCCTTCAGGTAAGTGGGGGAGGGGAAAGAGGGGGATTGAGGTCTCCGTAGGGAGGGAGGGAGGGAGCTGGACAGGACTGGGCCTGTTGCCCAGCTGGGTGGTGTGTGGGGCTTGAGGCCCAGGGCCACAATGTGTAGCTGCAGGGCCCCAGCAGGGAGTGAGATGGGGCCCCAGGTGGCTAGTCCAGGGGGGCAGGGGAGGCGGGATTGGCTACCTGCCACAGTGCATACTTCCAAGGGGGACAGGGGAGACCCAGGCCCCCCGGATCTGTACACAGGCCAGGTGCAGGCTGCAGGCATGGGTTTCTGCCCTGCTGCCCTCCCCCAGGTCCTCTGTAGCCCGGTGTGCATGACCTGGCATGGTAGAGAACAGAAGGTTTATGTGGAGAAGCTGCTCACTGCTGTGAGCTGTGTGCTCCCCTGGTGACATGCCCCGTGTGCATGGCTGCAGTGAAGGCAACAGCACGGGGTTGCTCCCTTTGAAGAAGCCCCACGCGCAGGAGGTGTGTGGCCAGGGCAGCATGGAGCTCACAGCAGTGAGCAGCTTCTCTGCACAGCCCTGCTGTTCCCTGCCACACTGGGTCAGGCCCATTGGGCTGTGGAGGCCCCAGGGGAGGGCAGCAGGGCAGAAACCCAAGCCCTCACCTGCCCTGCACACAGGTCTGTGGGGCGTGGGTCCTCCCTGTTCTCCTCAGGAGAGCATGCCATGGTGTGGAGACAGCACCCCCTCCTTGCAGCAGGGGAGAATGGGGCCCAGGGACTGCAGATTCAGGTCTGTACCCCTGGCACCTGGGGGCCCCCTCCTTCAACAAGGCTGCAGGAGCAGGGGCTGTGGTTGGGGGGCAAGGGGCACAAGCAGGGCTGGGAGTGGGGTACGGTGAGCCCTTAATTTTCATCACAGATTTGGGGGGTTTTATTAGAGAATTTGCAATTTTTTATTGAAGAATTTGTGATTTTATATCAGGGAAAACCAGGATCCCTGCTGATGACTGATGCTGCTGGGTGGAAGCAATTCTACCCACCCATCTGTCACCATATGGTAGGTGGAGTGCTCAAGATATATATTTGTCTCACAGTGCACATAGACAGGCTCTTGAATGAGAATCTCTATTTTCTACATAAAGTCTTAATATAAGCCATCTACCTTAATATTTCTCAATAGCATACATTGCTATTGCACACCAGAAATGAACCACCTGAAATTGCAATAGCACACCAGAAATGAACCACTTGAGGAAAAGACGGAACAAGTGACAAGAGCTGTTTAAGAAAGATTATTTTAACATTTGTCATAACTGAACAGGTATTTGTGAAACAATTGATTTATCTGTTACTATCACACACCTTGAAATAATATGGAAAATATCAACGTAAACCTGAAATATGATGATTGCCACTAAGGGCAGGTATAGACATTTGGGGAGGTTAGATAGAGTTAAAAATGGCCACCTGATCATTTGGGGTGGTGGGGCTAGTGGGGAGGCTTGGGGGTATTGGGGGAGCAAGAAGGCTTCAAGGGAGGGTGGGGAAGGGAGTCTGAGGGTAAACAGGATCTGAGGGAGGGTCTAAAGGGGCAAGAGCAGTTTGCTGAGAGGGATTTATTTGGGGGGTCTGGAAGGGTTTGCTGGGATCCGGGGGGTTAGCGGGGCTTTTGGGGGAGTGGAGGGCTTAGGAGTATGGGGGGCTCTCCCCCCAGAACAGGGGCTATATTTAGCCCCCCACCAAACCTCCCCCACTCCCAGATGAATAATGCCCCCCTATCCTACCCAACTCAATTTACCAAGAAGTGGTAGGAATATTGCCACTACAGGGCTAGGGCCAGTGGCTGGGCTTTCTGGGAACTGTACAGAAGTTCAGTTAGAGCGGTCTTGCCTGACCTGATCTAAGTTAGATGACCACTTTGGAGGTTCAGTTAACTTAGATTGGGTCACCCATTTTTAGACCACTCTAAGCTTCTTGAACCTCTGTACAGTTCATACTTAGATCCTCCTAATTATAGGGATCTAAGTGTAAGGTCTGCACCTCGATGAAGCTAGATTGGGTGGCCATTTTTAATGTGATCTAACCTCCCCAAAGCTAGGGACAGACGTTCAAAAAGCCTCAGGGAACTGTACAGAAGTTCAGTTGCTGTACAGAAGTTCAGCCTGAATTGCTCAATCTTTGCAGGTTACTTTAACCTGGCTAGGCTGAACTGGTTTGTAACTGGACAGACATCATCTCTGGAATGAGGACATTCAGGCACATGCCTGCAGTGTCTCAGGCTAGAAGATGTGGGGCGCTGGAGTAGCTCTTTCCTTGCACAGCACTGAGCTGAGGTGTGGGGGGCATAACCAGGCCCTGGCAGGACCTCTGATTAGGGAAGTCTGCCTGCACCATCCCAGGCTTTTCCCTGCTGGCTGCTCAAGGGGCAGAAGTGTTGCCAGACCACACCCCCCTACTAGCACTCTGAGGCAAGGGGGGTATCTGCAATGCATGTATCTGTTGATGATATGGAGCTTTTCAATCTTCCTCCCTGCTTCTTTATACTGTCTGCAGCAAACTGATAGGCAAGCAAGCCGGCAGAGAGCTGATAACAGTGTTTATCATCTCATCAGCAAAACAACAGCCTCTCTCCATTAGTTAAAACTCTTCTTAGACAGCTTACCAGCTGCCCTGTTGATTAGCTCCAAAACTGTTCAGTCTGCCTGTCCCAGTGAAATTGGGGACACACACAGACACCTCTGAGGCATTAGCTAGCATAACACATGCCTAGGGTCCATGAGGCTGGGGTCCGTGCTGTGGGGAATGCGGGGGAGGGGATTCCTGCTTAAGCAGTGAGGGGGGGGGTAGGGCAAAGCAGAGAGCCCTGGCCAGCCAGAGAGCATGCCAGGATGCTGGGGGAGTCTGGTTTATCTTAAACCAGCCAGGGGTCTGAGAGGTGGGGGTAGGGAGAAGCAGTGGCAGCACAGAAGCAACTTCCAACTGCTCAGCCCCAGCAAAGTTCTTCACCAGCTGAAGCTTTGCCAGTGCCACACACTGGAAATTGGAGGATAGGGAGAAGCAGTAGCTCGAGCAAAACTCCCCCACCGCTGATTAACCACTTAAGGCTCCTGTCCTGTGTTGGACTGGAGCTGGGTTGTTTTGGCCCGTGGCTTGAAAAAGTTGCCAGCTACTGGTCTAGAATATACCTGACCACAGCAATGGTTAAATGTTGTAATACAATAAAATGCAAGCTACTGATTCTGGAAAAAGACAGAACCCAGAGTAAAGTGTTACAGCGAAGAAAAAAAAAAAGTGTGTCCAGTGAGTTTAGTTTTCAAGATAATTTTCCAAACGTTAGAGCTGATTAGCACTCCTGCTTATTGAAAGTTTTGCTTCATATATTGCACACAGGCCACAGAAACATTAAAAGTGAGAAAGTACAGTGATAGGAGCACTTTCTGGTATCCATGTCAGTTTTTAAAGTTGCCAGATAAGCAGGAAGTGTTTTACAAAGGATGCATGGTTTTATTTCTCCCAGATAGCTGAATAATAGCTCATCCAAAACAATGCAAACTGAAGCAATATTTCAACAGATAGAACTAAAGCTGTTATTCCTACCTGTTTAGGCTTCAAGTTTCTGAGACAGAAAATCTTGTAAACTCTAGAATGTCTGATAATAAACTTTTAGAAAGGTGAGGGCACGATTTTTCAGAGAAAATGGAGAACAACTTAGCTCATTTAAATAAGACGATGAGCCTGACAGAGAAGAAGTAATGTTGGCATTTTATCATTATCACAGAAATCACACTGTGTATTTCTAGTGTATTTTTCATCTTTGGTAGACAAATTAACAGATGCAGGTGAATGGCATACATAAAGTGAATGTGTGCCTAAAGAGGAGATCTAAGACATGTGCCTTTATAATGCACATGGGCCTTACAAAACAGTCCGTGTAGGTCCCTACCCCAAAGATCACACCACTTAAGTTGCAGGCAGTATGAATGAGGATGAAAACGAAGAAAAAAACTGTTAGATCTGGGGAACAGCATACACTGAAAATAGTTTGAGAACTACTAATAAATAATGAAATAGAAGCAGATGGTAGGGCCTTCGCTGTATTAACTCTTACAATAGTACATTGGAGTTTTGCCTGGAATTTACAGCTATCCTCTGCCAGATTCTTAAGGACACGGGTACATAAACAAGTTATGTGACAAATGACAGAACTTTACAATAAGTCAATTGCTCCACTGTAACAGCTCATATACATGCTCCTTATCCCTAAGTAAAGCAAAGCTAACCCTTAGCAGCATAGCCCTCGGTGAAAGAAGGGTAAGTTGACAGTTTTAAGCATTCGTATTCTACAAGGTAAGAGCACACACATGGAAAGTTATGAGTAGTATATGTGCTCTAAATTTCTAGTCATATTTAAATCTCACAATAACCTTTTGTGTGCTCATGCCTTTGTATCCATTTACTCATAAAATACAAGTCACAACATTCTTCATGGTTTAACAAGAGAAACTGTCAGGAACCAATTTTTATGTAAGTGAAGAGGAAGAGTGAACATGGAATTTGTTTACATATAAGCAGCTGTTTTCTGGATGCATCCACAATACATCTTAAAGCACTAAGAGTAGGGAGTCATTTAGAGGGTTTTCTGTTAGATTTAGCCATTTAACTTTTAAAAACGCCTTTATCGTTTGCTACATTGTACTATGGTTTTACATACCTCATATGTAGTTGTCATTGATGGCTTGTATGGTACATGATTAGCTCTTCTTAATTCCTTAATAGTTTCTGCAGGCATTGATTTGGAAAACCCTAACCCACTCCACGTATTTGTTGGAGTTCTCACTTCTGTTACAACTGGCTTCTTTAACATTGCTTAAAAATGCAAAGATAGATCAACAAAAGCATTAATCCTAGTAATGAAAGAGATGCATGCGCCTTCCAAACATTCTCAATGCTATTGCATCTCACTTAATTATACAACACTTCATTCTAATTCTTAAGGGGCAGTGCAGAGCTCACAGCAGCGCGGAGCTTCCCTGCCCAGCCCCGCTCTGCCTTGCTGCATTGGATGCCACCTGCTTGGCTGCGGAGGCCCTAGGGGAGGGCAGAAGGGCAGGGAACCCCAAACCCACCCTGTGCAGAAATCTGGGGGTCACATGGCTCACCTGACCCTACCCCGGGAGTGTGCACAGCACCAGGGAGCTGAGTCTGAAGTGGACAGCCTGCACCACTGCCCCCTGCCTTTCCCTGGGCTCTGCTCCAGCCCACGTTGAAGGGGAAGCCATGTTCCGCAATCTGTTCCCCTCTCAGGCCAGAAGAGCTGCCGCCTCCTGCAAGCAGCATGTGGTGTTTGGGCACTGTAGAGCAGGGCCCCTGGCCCTGTAGCCCTAGCAGCTGGGGGCTCCCTCTGGCAGGGTGGGGGTGGGGTGGGGTTGAAGGTCACCAGCAAA